ATTATATGACCACGCAAATAATACTTTATTTTGACGATTTTACCGGTTTTTAACATTTAAAAAATGCGCTGAAAAAAATTAATTTTAATTACATCAAAAATAAATAACTCTGAAACTTTTATCTTTAATAACATTTTTGTATTAGTGAAATGCTTTTAAATAAAGTCACAGCTACTGTTAATTTTATTTATAATTAATATTTATATTATTTAAATATATATAAGATTACTAAATAAAAAATACTAAATAAAATAACATAAGAATTTATTATAATTAATCTTATTTATTTTTCATTTATTTATATTTTATAAGCGATGACTTAAAAAACAACGACGACTTAAACAACGATTGTCTCTTTAATAAACTTAATTTAAGAATCATTTAAGTTAGTACACTCGAAAAGATTTTGTTGAGAAGAACTTTAGAATTAAAGACAGCTATTTGAATTAAATTTTTCTAATGTTTTCATATTATTAAAACGCTTTTAAATAAAGTAACAATTCACTGCTAATGATTTTTCTACAAAGTATTAATGTAATTTTTTCTCGTTTTTAAATTAAAAAATTATTTAAGTTAATATACTCGAAATATAACAAATTTTTTTTTGCAAGAACGCAAGTTAAAAAAATATATATATAATAAAAATATATATATATATATATATATATATATATATATATATATATATACATATATATATATATATATATATATATATATATATATATATATATATATATATATATATATATATATATATATATATACATATATATATATATATATATATATATATATATATATATATATATATATATATATATATATATATATATATATATATATATATATATATATATATATATATTATAATATATAAATATAATTTTATTTTTATAATTGTAATGATTTTTTTTTCTTTAAATAAATAAAAAAATTAAACTATTAACAAATTAAATCAAATTATTAATTAAAGGAATAGTTTTGTTTATTATTTTTCGTTTTCATTTCACTTTTTACTGGTATTGGATTTCTGAAAAAAGAAAAGATTTAACTTTTTTTTTTTTTTTTTTATAATTACTACGAAGAATTGAAAAGTTTTTTTGCTGTTGTTATCTTTTAAAAGTGTATTTATTGAAAAATCGTTGGAAATTGTTGCTTTATTTAAAAGGGTTTTGTGTCTAGATAATAAAGAAAAAACATAATTTTTTTGTTCATAAGTCAGTTGTCATTTTTGTGAATCACGCCCTCCCCCCCCCTAATTAAAAGCCTCATTAAAAAAAGTTTCCTAATTTAGTTAAATCGTTTTTTTTTTTTAGTTAAATCGTTTTAAAAGTTTCCTAATTTAGTTAAATCGATTTTTTTTTTATTACCACTAATGCGCGATTTTATAAAAACAAGTGTTTATTTACAACTTTTTGTCGCTTTGTACTTTTTATTATTATTTTTTTTACTATTACTATAATTTTATATGGTGCGGTAGCAAAGCAGATGGGACACTGCTAATTTTATATTATAAAAACATTAGTAAATATTCAAAGTTATTTATTTCAAAGGTAATTATCTTAATGTTTATTATTTATTTTAGTTAAGTTTTGTTTTTTTTTAGTTAAGTTTTGTTTATTTTTTTACTTTTGTTTTAATTGTTTATTACTAAGCTATTTTTGTTTTATTTTTCATTGTTTTTTTTTTTCAAGTTTTTTTTTCCTTTTTTTAAAATAAGTTTGTTTTTTTAGGTTCTTTATAAGTTAAGTTTTTAGCACTTTATTAAAATGTTAAAACTGTGGTCAAATCGTCAAAACAAAATATTATTTGCTTAGTCATATAAAGCCGTGAAATCGCACGCTTTCTGACTAAGCCTGATATATATATATATATATATATATTTATATATATAAATATATATATATATATATATATATATATATATATATATATATATATATATATATATATATATATATATATGAAATTTTAAAATAATATTCCATTAAAATTTTTTTGTTGCAAAAAAAAATGCCTTTTATATTTGTGTTAATATTATTGTGTTAATATATTTGTGTTAAAGTTATTGAAAATACACATTTTAAAAAAGTCAAATTTTAGGGTTAGGGTTGTCATAATTTTAAAATTTTTTTGGGGGTGCAAATAATACATTGGGTTGCAACAGATAATCAAGATCCTTAACTACTATTAAAAACGGGCCTTTTTTGAAAAATACTAAACTATAGTTATGCACAAAACACTTAAGAAAAAACATTTAAAAGTTATTATTAAAGAACAATTTTAATAAGTTAAATAAATTAAAAATGAAAAATTTTATTAAACTAAATATCTATATTAAATACTTATATAAAGAGTTTTAGTACTCAATTATTTTGTGACTAAAACATGCTTATGCATGCTAAACACACTATGATATGGAACATGCACAACATGTTAAACACACTCTGCAACATATCAATTTCTTTTAAATTTAAAAAAAAATATTGTTACAAACCTCGTATTGAGATAAATTTTGATTGGAAGAAGTAAGAGGCATGCGTTGCTGATAGTAAGTATGTAAATGACAAGCATTAACATCGCACATGTGTAATGAAGAAGCAGTAGGTAATGTTACTAATGAGGCATTTCTTTGGGCTATTGCTTGAGTTTTTAAATAAGCTACAGCATCCATTACTTTTACAGACGATTGAACACTGAAAAAAAAGGACATGTGTCTCTGTTAGAGTTAAAGTAGGTTTACCCTAACCTTAACCCTGACAGGGTGATGTACTCAAATAAAAAAAAGCTATAAAAATAAAAAACATTAACTGCAATTTTCTAGAACTATATTACTTAATAGTATATAGTAGCTTATTCTTATAAATCCAATCATCTAAATTCAACACTAAATTCATCATTATTTTTGAAAATGAAATTATAAGCAATTGTAGTTAGAGGTAATATCGTGATTTGCAATTCAAAAAAAGGTGACTGTTTAGTTTAAAAAATGTTTTAGTTCATCTTGAACAATGCATTTTTATATGTTTGATTTAACCAAACATAATACTATTTTCTACATTTGAACGATTCTTGGTTCTTTCTGATTTTAACTGACCATAACTGACTAAAAATACAGAGTAATCAATTTATTTTTCTTTAAATTAAAACATTGGATTGTAGATTTTAAAAGTCTAGAAATATAGCCACAGGTTTTTTTCCTGTTGAAATATTTTAAAGATCTTTAAAATAGTTATAATCTTCAAGAATAGTCAAATAGTGTCAAACTTAAATCTGCTAAGATTAAATCTTAGATTAAACTTAAATCTATTTAAAGATGCAGATTTAATGCTTAGACTCTTTTAGTTTTGTAAAAAAACTCCAATTAGTGCTACAAAAATACAAAATCTTATCATTATCATTGTATGATCAATTTATTGTTAACATTTGTGGCTTTTATGACTGATAGATTTATTAATGACATCAAAATAAATAAGAATTTTTAATTTATTTTACTTTTTAATTATTTTTATTTTTAAAGTTTTTAATTTTGTTGACTTACAAAAAATACATATTTTTGAAAATTTTAATTTAAACCTGGTAACTAATTATAAAATTATAATATTAAAATTTTTTATAATATTAAAATTTTTTATAAAAAAAGATTTAACGTTGTGAAAAGTAAAACTGAATTTAAAAATCTAAATATAAATTTATTAATATAAAACAAAAAAATCAGCGAATTAGATCAAATTAACAAAATTGTTTATTATATTCATTATATGTTTATGTATATCCATTATTTATATTGTTTATAATATCAATTATTGTATATTATTTTCATTATAGTTATTGAAACGAACTATTAATAGATAAATTGTTTCAATAGAAAAAAAAGATTAAGTATATAATAAAGTGATCCTGTAAATGTACTTATGGTAAAACCAACATCATGTAAAAGAACATAGTAAACATTTTAATTTTAATTAGCTAAAGTTTTGTACTGTCCTATGCAAAAAAGATGTTTCCCTTATATATAAAAAATTATATAAAGTGTAAAATACCTGTATAAAAATTGTAACATAGTTTAGTAACTATGTTACAATTAATAAAATAAATAGTAAGTTTAAAAGTTTGTTTTAGTTTTAGTTTCTATATTCTTTTTTTTTTCCAGGTGAAGATTGCGGGCGCATAGATTGTAGTGTGAAGTAGCATGCACTGTTATTTGTGGAGTGAAAAAGTCTTTTTAACTTTTTTAAAACCATGTATTATTTTAAAATGTAGATAAGATCTTCATGTTTCCTTCTGGTTTTCAGAGTGGTTAGCTCAAGGATGAATAGCAGAAGCCATTTTTTTGACCAGTCTAGTGCTTTGTTGATGTCTATTTGCAAGAAAACAGCATCTTGGCTTGGTTTGATAACTGAGCTATGTGATACCCCCCTCCCCTTGTAACACTCTTTCATTGAGAACATAGCAATCCATTTCCACTTGCTGTTGTCTATTGGTAAGCAAATGTTTGGTCCAAGTGATTAATGACCCACCAATGTCATATGCTTTAAATTTAAACATGAGTTGGTGGTGTGATACCACATACACTAAATGATACACAATCGAATTTCAAAATTCCATTGTGTATGATGCTCTTAAGGACTTTGCAGGGTAGGGATGTATGTGAATCACGACGGTAGATCAATATTTTTGTATTGGACCCTTTCTAGAAGCTAGGCATGTTTGATTTTATCCAGAGGTCTGGAACAATGCTTTTTAAAGCAAAAGGAAAAATACAAACTTGGTAGATTGAATTTTAGGCATTTTTTATAATGCGCATTTATTCAATGAATGCATTCATTATCTAAAAAAATATCTGCTTAACCAAAGCAGATATTTTTTTAACAAAATAGGCTTATAAGCAGAAGTTTTATTAACATTAAAAAAATAACTCAAAAGTTATCTTCTAACATTAGTTTATGAAATAAACACAATTTGTCTAAAAACTTGTAGAATCTTTTAAACCCAAAATAAAAATCTGATTCTTTATAAGCTTATTTATATACGGCTTTTATCTTAAAATACAATACGCTCTTTCTTGATTGATATGCTGAAACGCATTTTTAGCTTTGCTTTGAAATCTCAACAAAAAATTCATATTATCATGCAACCCTTGGAAATGTAAGCAATCGACAATGCCGACCTAACTGCTGAAAGTGTTTGAGATCATCAAAAAAGTGCAAATCTAGTTTCTATGCTTTATGGTAAGACCTTTGTAAAAAAAATTTCGCCAACCTGATCCCAACCGCTATTGCCTTATTTTTCTTAATTCCGAGGGTTGATCATGTAGAGATAATTTATTTTTGTATGCTAATGTTCTTCTTCAAAGTATTTAAGCCTTTAAAATAAACAAATTTGCTTTGTAGGAGAGTCTAATATTAATAACTTACTTTTGAATATTAAAAAGAACTTACCTATATAAAACTGCTAACATGACATTGATGATGAAAAACAAGTAAATAAATTTCTCATTCACAATAACAATACTTACATTTTGCAATAATAGAATTGTGTCAAATGAGTAAATGTAAAAAATGGATGACGCAAAACTTCGGCAGGTTTTATTCTTTTAGCAGGATCTAATTCAAGCATTTTCTTCAAAAGATCAACAAAAACAGATCTAAAACATTTTTAAAATAAATTTTTTATATTAATACACCTATATAATTTTTAAATTTATTTTATTTGTTTATAACTTTAATTTATACTTTTGCTTAATAATACACACACACACACACACACACACACACATAGTTAAAGTTTAATACACACTCATATTTAAAGATTAAGTGAGAGATTTACACAAGCCATTACCTTAAATTAAAGAAATTGATTTTAACAATGGAATGTTCTGCAATGACTCATTAAATGGATTATTTTAAAAAAACATCTTACCTGTCAACTCTTTCAGCAGTACTATCACTATGACTTAAGCTCGATGGAAAATTTTTCTATAAAAATTAAAAATTTACCATACAGTTTTAACATAGATTTTAAAAAAACAATTTTAAAATTGTTTTTTTAATTTGAAAGAATATAAAAAAGTATTAGTTAGACTATGGGCTACCTAGAATCAGGGTAAGACAAGGTTTACTAAAACATGGATTAGCAAAATTACAAGAATGAGATTTAACTATCTTTAAAATCAACCAACAAACAAAAATTGCAACAATACTTTTAGTCAAGGAATAAGTTTTTTATGAGTGTAACATATAGCAATGTAAACGGGTTCAGCAAGTGTGGTGAGTAACATCTTAATGTGAATTGAACATATAGTTAAAACAAAAATTTTAAAATGTTTTGCAGAATATTAAATAACTTGTACATATTTTCACCCATTAAAAGCAATTGAGTGCTCCCCTGTAGTTTTAAGAAACGCCTGCCATCGTTTATAAGTGTTAAGCAACTGATTCCATTGTAAAGCTAATGACCTCAGACTAAAGCAGTCACGTTACATCTGAGCTTAATTAATATTTTTTGAAGATTATTAAGTTTTTCATTTGTATGCTATCTTAACTAAATCCCTTTATGATGTTTTGGTTCTTTGATTTTTAATAACATTGTTTTGTAGTCATTTATGATTTCATTTTATATTATTTATAATGTACTTTAACTTTAGAATTTTTTTTTAGTAATAACATTTTACAGCATGAATGCATTTTTAAGCAAAAGTTTTTTAGAAGGTAATTAATGACCTAAATTAATGACCTAAATTAAATAATGCAAAAAACTACATTTTTACAACCAATTTTACATTTTAAATTAACAAAAGGTTGTTTTCAGCAAATAAAATAATTATAAAAACTGGTTCATTTAAAGAAGTTATTTCACAAAAAACGTGTATGGGTGTTAATCAATTATTCTATTTATAAACTATTTAACGCCATTTCATTCCGTTAGGAAGCATTTAATGTCATGTTATGCCCAAATCCTGCTACAAAATGAATGTGGGCTCAATAAAATACCACATTTTCAGAATTTTCGCATCCTTAAAAACTCCAGATCACAAAATCAGACAATTTAATTAAAAAAAAATTCTATCGTTTTTAAGATAGAAGTCCGGAGACCCAGTCCTAAAAATTAATGGAACTCAGAATCCCTGTAGCAAAAAAATATATATACATATATACATCATGTATATATACAATATATATGTTTATTATAAATATATATGTTTATTATAATATATATACATATATACAATATATATACATGACAGTATTTAATAAATAGTAAATATATGCAGAAATTATTATATATAATATATTGAAAATCTTTTCCTAACCCTGGTTATCAACCCCTGCTAAACCTTGTAATTTTGCTGGGTTCTGGTTTGTAAAAAGTTCTGCATTTAGCTAGGGCTGGAGCCCCGATCCATACAGTGCCATATTGAAGTTTAAGACTAAAGTTCTAGAAATAATTTATATAACAGGAAAATGGTGTGGTATTGTAGTCTCTGTGTGAAAAGATGTCTTTAATAGTAAACTTTAAGGTTGAGTGTATTTTTTGGATTGTTTTTAACACACATTAACTTTAGCCTAACAGCTTTACAAATATTAACAAATATTGAGATTAAACATTAAAACATTAAAAAGTTAATTCTTAATTTAAATCTTAAAAAAAATCTTTTTTAAAACTTGCATAAGCTTAATGCTATGAAATATAAGAGTTTGCTGTTTGTCCATCAATAATATTTGCTGCTTGTCTATCAATAATATTTGCTGCTTGTCCATCAATAATATTTGCTGGTGCAAATATTATTGATGGACAAGCAGTAAATATTATTGATAGACAAGCAGCAAATATTATTGATTATTTAGACTTTAATGTCCAAATATAATTGGTTGTCCACCAATTATATTTGGACATTAAAGTCTAAATAATCAAAGTCTATTTGGTTGGTTTTAATTTTAGTTTTGAATTTTAAAAATAAACAAAATAAGTAAAATGATCAAATTTTCATATATTTATTTAAAACAGTAAAAGTGCTTTATTCTGTGACAGTGATGATGTAAGTTTTTACAGGCTTTTTTATGAGATTTTGTTGCATAACGGAAAAGTGCAACGCAAATAAATGTAACTTTACCTAATAAATATATTTACATTGTTAAAAGTTTAATTCTGTCAGTTACGTATTTTAAAATACCTTATTGTAATTAAATTTAAAACCACATTAAAAATGGTTGTAAGTCATTAAAATAAGATATCTTCAAATTAAACAATATTGTTACAAAAAATATTATAAATAAAATTTAAATAATGATTCAAAAAAAATTCATTAAAATCTTATTTAAACTTTCTTTCTTTAAAACATTAATGTTATGGTTATTTTTTTTTAAATGAGGGAAACTTGTTTATGGTTGATTTTCTTAAAGGGATTCAAATGAGGAGTGGACTTGCAAAACAAGATAATTTCCTTTTTTTTATTCCAAGATAATGGCAAAAAATATTTTCCAATAAATTAAAAAGCTAAAAATTAACAAATTATAAGCTAAACAATAGATATGATTTAAAGAATATCAAAGATTTGAAAATCGTTTTCGTTTAATCTTATTTTTATTACAAAATGAAAAAACATTTTATCTGGTTTTGCATGCCAATTAATTTTAGCGCAAAACAAACGTTTGTGCTACCTAAAGCATTTTAGTAACTGGCTTTTGACAAAATAAAAATTGTAATTAAACGAAGATTACAAAACTTTTCGGCTTTGTTTTTTTTATTTTCATTAAAATATTTTATTTTTATGTACTGTGAAATCTAATGTTTTTTCACTTATTAAATCCAAAAAGAAAAATTATATTTACAATTTAAGATGTGATTAGCAGAACTTGTTTTTAACAAATATCAGTATAACTCTGAAATTTACATATCTTATATTTATAGAACTAGTAATAGTTTTTTTTTTTTAATTAAATAAATATAAGTTAGGCTTTTAAAGAGTTTATTCATTGATCACATTATTTTTAATTGGTTATAAAAGTTTGGTTCGTTTTATAAAAAAAAAAAAATTCTTCTCCATAAAACTTAACTGCTAATGGGAAAACTCAGACATAACATTTATAACATGAGTTTGAAAGAACTTTTTTGTATTGACATCATTTATTAACTACAAAAGCGCAATGAGACCAGTATTTTTTTCATATCATAGAGCCAGAACTTACCTTCCTTCAAAAAAAAAAGGCGTTAAAAAATAATAAAGTCTTTTGCTAATATCTCAATAATTTGTTCTGGATGATGAGCATGAAACTCATTTTTCAAGGATTTATCATGACATGAACACAACTTATCTTGGCACTTTAGGATCACTTAACGATCAAAAAATAAATAAAAACTTATCAATCTATTTTTTAACATTTTGGCTTTAACAAAATCTTTGCATACTACTCATAAACTAGTTAATCATTTTTAATCGACGTTTAGTCTATGATTAATTGATAAAATTAGCAATAAAGAAAAAAATATTGTTAAAAAAAACTGAAATTAAAATAAAGTTTTACAGAATATAAAAATAGAATATAAAAAAGTTATCTATTTGTTTTTTTTTTTGTAATAAAAAAAATATTCCACAAATATTTTTTACAACAATTAATTACAGTTTAATGTTTTCCGCATAAACTGTTCTAAAAGACTGTTTAAATAAACTTATTGAAAAAAGTTTTTGTGTAACATAAATAGCGAAACGCGTTTAAATAATCGCGAATATGTACGTAAAATTCAAATAGCATAACACTTCTTAACAAGGCCTATTTTTAAATTTCTTTTGAACCATTAAAATCTTTTAAAAATAAATTAAAGTTTCATTGAAAACTAAAAAATTACTAAAAGAAAACATTCTTATGTATTTTACTTATACAAAAAATAATAATAATAAGTTACAATAATAGTCTTATTCATTAATAGTTATTAATAAATTAATAACAGTTATTAACAAACTATTAATAGTTAATAATAAACTAACAAAAGACCAAGTTAGTTAAGAAAAACTGTTGAAAAAGTTAAAATCTATCCTACTTTACAAACTGTAAAAATTATTACCAATATAATATCATCAAGATGATTAAATATATATCTTCTACTACTTTCCTCTTTTCTTAATCTTCCTGAATCATGTTCATACTCATCAGATCTCTAGAAAAAAAAAAAAGCAAAATTGACAAAAACACAAAAAAAAAAAAGGAAAAAAGAAGTATTGCAAAGTTGGTTTTTTAAAAGAAAAGTTAACAAAATAAAAAATACATATATCAGCGCTGGAAATAATCATTTAAAGGTTGCCATCAAAACATATCGGTTGAAATAAAAACATTGAAAAGTAGACGATAAAATTTTTTTCCAGACAATCAAATTTAATTTTTGTAATTTTTATCAAACTTTTAAAAAATTAATATATAAAATTAAAAAATTAATGTATAAAAATAGTACAATATATATTTTTATATTTTGCTTTTTTCTCAAAAAAAATTAGAAATTTTACTTTTTTGACAGAAAAAATTAACCTTTTACATTTAAGTAAAACACCCCCCGAGAAAATTGCAAAAAAAATATTTTTTAACTACTGATTTAGATACTGATTCCTTATTTATTTTTTTCTAGGTCTTTAATTTACTAGAGAAAATTGCAATTATTAAAAGCTCACAGATAGCAATAAAACTTCTATCTATAAGTTCCTAATATAACCATAAGTTTGATGATTTGAAAAAGGAAAAGCTAATAATTATTCTTTAAAAAAAACTTACTTTTTTCTTTTGCGCGTTAGTCAGATAACAAACGAATTTCATTTTATAAGAAATAATTGTTTTTTGTTGTTTGCCTCTATTTTATAACTTATAGACAATACCTTATTTTTTAATTTTATATTAATCTTAACAAAACAAAAACTATTATTTCGAAATTAAATGATCTCAAACTTTTAGGACTATCAAACAATTTGAAGTAAATAACTATTTTGCCTGAATTCTTATAAACGCTATATTTATTAAGTAAAAAGAAATGCTAACATTTCAAGTAATTATTTAAAAATTTTTATAAAAATTTTTTTTAAATAATTACTGTTAATGTTAGTGTTAGGGTAAATATTGTTTAAGATCAGAAAGTTTAGCAGGAAAGTTTAATATTAGTATAGTCAAGTTATAATAAACACATGTGGAAAAAATATATATGGTATAAAGATATGTAAAACTAGTTAGCATTTCCTGATCTATATACACTATAGAAGCAATATATATATATATATATATATATATATATATATATATATATATATATATATATATATATATATATATATATATATATATATATATATATATTAAACAACTTTGCTTCCAACGAGGCTGCAAGCAACCATTAATTACTGTTGGAAGTTACTGGAAGAGAAAAGATGAAGATTGTAGAGCAAGATAACGATTGACAGACAACTTAAAAGATTGCAAATTAAATGAATCAGGATAGCAAGACTAAGGAAGCAAACTCCAAAGAACTGATGTTTGAGGAAAAAAAACTAGAGGAATAAGAGTTTTTGGAGCACTTAGGAACAGTAACAGAAAAAAGATGAGACTTAATTGAATGAAGAGTAACACGAGAATGAATTTTAGTAGATGGCACAAGAGGCGCTTGCTCTTTAAAGCAGTGCCCATTATAGTATTTGTAGAAAAGAGAAAGAGAAGCAAGGTCACGACGATGTGATAATGATTAAAGGTTGGCTGTAAGAGCAGGTCCAACTATGTTTACAATGCGTTTTTGCACCTTGTCTAAATAAGAAAGGGCATCATTAGAAGATCCGCCCCAGATATGGCAACAGTATTCCATACAAGGCCGGATTTGAGATTTAAAGAGATAAAGAATAGAATCTAGAGTAAGAAAGTGTTGAGCTCGATAAAGAAATACAACTTTAGCAGACGCTAATTTTGCAACGAATTTGATATATGGTTTCCAAGAGAGATTAGAAGTAAGAGTTAATCCTAGAAGGGTAAATGGCTCATCGAGTACATAACCATTTGTAAATATAGGAAGGCCTAAATTATTGTGATAACGGCTGAAAAAAATTGAGCTTTATCTGAATTAAAGTTCACCAGCCACTGTGAGCCCCATGCTGTAGCAGAAGTTCACCAGCCACTGTGAGCCCCATGCTGTAGCCAAACACTCTCTGATTGTTTGTTGAGATCCTTCTCCAAACAATCAGAGAGTGTTGACTTCTTATCATGACAAGAACAAATAGTAGTATCATCAGCAAACAATGCCACCTTAGATGTGAGAATATCTGGAAGATTGTTAATGTAAATTAGAAAAAGTATAGGGCCAAGGATTAAACCTTGAAGAACCCCTGAGGTTACAGAATGAGAAGAAGAGTGCTGTCCATCAAGAACAACTTTTATAGTACGATTGGAAAGGAAAGAATCAATAATATATATATATATATATATATATATATATATATATATATATATATATATATATATATATATATATATATA